TAACATCTCTCTCATCTCAATGTTGGAATTTATTGATTGTCTTTTTTAATTCAGTTTTAGATCTTCCTGGTTCTAAGTATGATAAGTGATTTTCAATTGAAACCTGAATAATATTGTATTATGAAGCTGGATATGATTTAAACCTGTTTTAGCTGGTTTTCTCTCACACTTTTCCAACAAAGAGAAGAAGAGGTGCTGCTTCAGCACTGCCAAGTAGAAATCCAAGTTCCTTATCTGCCTCCATTGGCACCTAAGTTAAGAATAGGGGCTCTTCATCACCACTGGGTAGGGATGGGTGGGAATTCTAGCTGCCTGCTAGACCTCTACTGACAGCTCCCTGGCTGGGAGGGATAAAAGTGTCTTGTTACTGTTCCCACATGGTCTCCACTGATACTGTGGGATGAGATTTTCTCTTAATTGTCCAGCAGGAATGAGAATCATGATGCCCTATTTAGCCTTCTCTGACACCACTCCAGGAGGGATGGTGTGGTGCCTTGTTACAGCCTGGTGAGGAGGGTAGAAGCCATAGTTTTTTTCTGTTGTGTTTTGCTGTAGTAGATTGATTATTTTGTTAAAAGTTTTCTGTCTTGCTAGCCTGCTCTTTTCCTGCTTCCATAGCAAGAGAAAAGATTTTGATAGGGCATTTTATGCTTACATCTGTTAGAATTTCTGGGTTGCTGTTTCTCCAGCACCCAATCTGAGAAGTGTGCAAGAAAAAGGAAAAAAGAAAAAGAAAACCCAAGGAACTCTTTGCCATGTTGTTCTTTGGATTCTGAGGTCCCTAGCCTGTCTGCTTTCGTCTCTCCATTTTTTAGTCTTCTTATGTTCATTTAATATGTCATGTCCAGGGTTTTTATTTGTAAGTAAAAAGAGGAATAAGGAAAGTACAGTCATCTTCCTAGAAGTGGAATTCCAAGCCTCTTAGTTTATATGGTCTTTTTGTATTTCACATTAAGCAGTTTTACAGCATGTCAGATCTTTGAGATAACTCTCATAGAAAAATCAAAATTACTTTAGAATGGTTCTAATGAAAAGGCTGAAATTTTTCTTGATGAATCATGCTCTATTTAATTTCATTTGAACTAAATATTATTATGTCCTTGTATTAAATATAAGAATGTTAGAAACGACTCTGGACTAATAGTTAGAGATCTAGGTTCTAGTTCAGGGTCTTTCACCATTCAGCAGTATGGCCTTGGGCAAATATCTTGGCATCTCAACATTCTCATTTGAATTAAGAGTATTGGGCTCATTAGATGATCTCTAAGTTTCCTTGTAACACCAACACTTTGATTTTCTCCTTATCAATCTATTACTTTTTCAAAAACCCACTATATAATACAGGGTTTGAAATATGTTGGTTAAAACAAGTAAAATCTTTATAATTAGATAAGACAAATAAGCATAGTTATTATTTATTGAATGCTTACTGTGATCAAGGTACTGTAGTAAATGTTTTACAAATATTGTTGCATACAATCCATTGAAGTAGAAGTTATGCCCATTTCATAGATGAGAAAACTGAGGCTCAGGAAAAAAAGTATTCAAGAATATTTGTTGTAAAGACTTATTTGATTCCAGGTCAATTTGATTCCAGAGCTGATGCTCACAACCACTTACATATATTTTTTAATTTTAATTTTTGTCCACTTTTCAATAAACAAATTCTTTTATAAAAGTGGGATCTTAAAGGTTCTGGATAGCTAAGAGATATATTTTATTTAAAATTTATCCAATCTCATTATTCTGCTTTGATTCATTTTTTACATAAATTAAAAATTCAGAAATATACACAACTAGTTTTTTCCCCATTTATTCTTATTATCCATGAGATATAGGATGCACCATTCCCCTTGAGAAGTAAAGAAATAAACTGAGGATTTTAAACTATTATTCCTCAAGAACAAAAATTTAATTTGTCAACTTTCCATAAACTTTATAGTGTCTCAGGAGAATCCTAGAAACTAGAGAAAATACAATATCTTTATGTGTATACATTTTACTCATTTATGGAGATTATATGAAGAACTAATTGTAAGACAATGTGAGCTACTCAAAAGGTAGAAGTCAAGAAGAAATGTAAAGGACTGTTCAAGTGGCTCCGTTGGTTAAGAGCGTGAGCTCTGAGCAACAGGGTCGCCGGTTTGATTACCACATGGCCCAGTGAGCTGCACCCAAGCTGAAGCTGCCACTGAGCTGCCAACAGGTGGCAGGAGGCTCAGCTGGTGAGAGCGAATGCTCCTAACAACAAGGTTGCTGGTTCAACTCCGACATGGGATGGTGGGCTACACCCACCCGCAACTAAGATTGAACATGGCACCTTGAGCTGAGTAGCTGTGAGCTGCCGATGGGTGGCCAGATGGCGACTGGACTTGGAACTGAGCTAGCTATGCCCTCTACAACTAAGATTGAAGGACAACAAATTGGCTGTTTCCCTTCCCCAATGTCCCAACACTGTTCTCCTTCCCCAATTCCCCAATAAAATCTTAAAAAAAAAAGAAGAAATGTAAAAATAAGAAATGGAGAAAACAGAGGGATAGAGAGATCAAACAATACCAAATTTAAAAGTATATAATGTAAGCACTTTGACATGTTACTAATTCCTAAAAATATTTCATAAAAATATTGTTTGGTTTTAAGTAAATTAAATGAACATGTATTATGGATTCTCTGTGTTGAGATCTTATGTTTTCTTAGAATCAAAACTGTGTTGAAAAATGATTTATCCTCTTAATTGAAATCAATTTTATAAGTTTATGTAGATGCATCATATATACAGAGGGTGCCAAAAAATGTACACACATTTTAAGAAAGGAAAACAGTATTACAATTGTAACACTCAACATATACCAATAACAAAAGATGAATACAAGTCACGTTTGACTTCTGCAATTATAAGAGGTGCTCAAAGTCTTTACCATCAGCATCCAGACACTTTTGATTTCGGCAAACTACTGCTTGAGCAATGTTGACCAAAGTGTCCACTTGTATACATTTTTTTGGCACCCCTAGTATTTATGTGGCAAAAGACCCTTAAGTATTTATAATATGATTAACCCGGAAGGGAAAGGATAACAATACAAGAAGCCAGGAGTACATAAATCCTTATTTTATTCCATTATGAGGTCTCCTTAATGTTCCACTGGCTTTATATGTGAGATTTTTGTGTCAATCTGCAGGGGCATTCCAATGGAAGTTATTCAAATTTCATATTACTGTTTGTTCCCAGAATCACCAAGAGAACAAATTGTGATGTAAAGAGTTGTTATAATCTCATTTCTTTATAAGGATTTAGGAAGCTGATAATTGGCTCTCTCATCTTGTTCTGAGATCAGGGTGTGCTTTTTTTAGGAAAATGATTTTCTCTTCAGAAAGTTACTGATTTTGATACGTACAGAACTGATCTCCCGGTAGGCAGTTGTGTCTTTGTTATTGAAACTAAACCAACAAAACAGTATCTAGTTCAAACAAAACATTACCTGTAAGTCTAATATAAGACACATAAAAACTGTTCAGTTCTGGGTGAAGCAGAAGTAGAAATAGGGGTATACGTCTGTCACTTGGTCACTCTACTTACGCATAAATAATTTTCTGTTGAATCTTTTAGAGTCTGGGCAGCACAACTGGGGAAATCTCCAGTGAGATATAAAGGTCACCAGATTAGGAATCCAAAGAACTATAGTCCCAGTCCTTATCAGCAGGTTGTGTTACTGAACCTTTGTGGGTCCAAATTTCCACATCTGTGAAATAAGGAGATTGAACTAGGTATCTTCCAGCTCAAATATTTGAGGAACCAGTAACAGCTACATGCAAATCACAAAACTTCTGTTTTATTTGTTTGCTATTGCAAAATAAGATGCTCACTGAAGGGTAAAATTTGCATGCCTACCTCAAAATTCTAAGTATTAGGAGATTTTTTTTTTAACCTTAAAAATTTAAGGGAGTTAAGAAAAAATTGCAATATAAATGTAAAATATAAAATTGTCCTGTTCTAAGAGATTTCAATACCTTTTTTCTCACCTCATTTCAAACAATATTTCATCGACTCACTCAGCAAACATTAGAGTGCTCACTACCTGACAGGCCCTGAGCTAAGTACCGAGGATAGAAGACAAAAGACTGTCTACTACACTGTAAATATTCATAATGTCCTCCTTCCTTCAAATACAAAAGATAATGTGTTCTTAACAATGTGTTCTTTTCAACAGAACCTTTTTGTGATGCTGCATCCTTTCTAAATGATACAGATGGTGATGATGCAAAGGGACATATTAAAACTAAATTAAAAGTGAAGTGCATTTCTTTGGAAAGAACTATATATTTAAAAACAAGTATGTTTTCTTTAAGTAGAATGGCTCAATTGTAATTGGTATTTGATCAACTAGAGCAAAGTATTTAGCTCTATAGGTATAAAAAGCTTTGTTTTCCTGATAAGCAGCATATCTCTTAAATATGAAGATGGTTCCACTGTCTAGGAGACAATCTCACAGATGCCGCCCCTATTGTGAATGATTCTGGATTACCAGTGGTTGCTTGAAATGGATTGGGAACAAAAGAGGGAAGAGTAAGATGAAATCACCAAGAGGTCTTTGAAGGTTTAGAAGGGACCGTGAAAGGCTCATTCCCTCTAGATTTTGAACCTAAATTCCCTTGTGATGGCAAACAACAGCCTTTGGGCATATCTCCCTTTGTTATTCAGACTGGTAGATCTCCCAGCTCAATCTACAAATGCATGCCCACTCATTCTGAGAGTGACTCTCCCCAAGGTGGAGCTGATGTCTACCCCTTCCTAAAGACATGGCACCCTTCCCATATACCTATCCAACTGTTGACTCCCGTGCAAGGGCCATCACCATCATCCACCCCAGCACCATCTTCCAGGAACTGGTCTCTACCCCATTAGTCCCCGCCCCTCTTCTGAGAGCACCCAATGGGTGGAATCAGGGCTGCGGTGGGAGGGGCCTGAGGCGGGCACATTTAAAGAAAAGGCAGAGGGCGAAAGGAGGCAAGAGAGGAGAAGAAAGAGAAACCAGGGGGGCGAAGCGCCGTCCAATGACAAAGCCCAGGGGTGGGCGCCGGCCGCCATTTTGTACCGGGCGGCAGGATCTTTACCCGCGTCCTCCGCCCTCGGAGGGGGAGGGGCGGCAGCGGCGGCGGAGGCGAGAAAAGTAGCGAGAGACGCGCGGCGCGGGAGGCGCCAGCAGTGGCCGCCGGCGCGGAGCCCGACGCGGACGGGGGCGGCGACAGCAGCAGAACCCGGCGAGTGCGGGCGGCCCCGAGCGGCCTCCGATGCGGCGCGGCGTGAAGAGGCGGCGGCCCCGGCCCCCGGCGGCCCCGGCCTCCGGCGCCCGGGGCGGCGGCCTCAGGGCAGGAGACCGGGCCGGACTGGACGCGCAAGAGGAGAAGGTGGTGTACTCGCGATCGCAACTGTCTCTGGCTGACAGCACCGAAGCGCTGGGCGACGCCTTCAAGCTGTTCATGCCCCGCAGCACGGAGTTCATGAGCTCGGACGCGGAGCTCTGGAGCTTCCTCTGCAGCCTCAAGCACCAGTTCTCCCCGCACATCCTACGCAGCAAGGACGTCTACGGCTACTCCTCCTGCCGGGCCTTAGTCCCTGACCCCCCGGTGTCCCCAGCCGCCCGCGGCCAGACGTGCAGGCCGGCCCCGCGCCTGGCGGCCAGGAGGAGGCGCCGCCGAGCCCGGGCAGCCGCCGCTCGCAGGAGGAAGCCTCAGCCGCCACGGGCCCCCGAAGAGAGCCGCCCTGCCAAGCCCGCGGCCCCCGGACCCTACTTTGGGGGCCGCACCCTGGAGGAGATATGGAAAGCGGCCACCCCGACGCTGACCACCTTCCCCACCATCCGCGTTGGCTGCGACGTGTGGGGCGAGCGCAGCTTGGCGGCGGCGCGACACCGGGCGCGCCAAGTGCTGAGAGTGAACCTGGAACCCGTGGTGAGGCTCCGCCGCTTCCCAGTGCCTCGGGCGTGAGACGCGGCCCCCCGACCCTAGGACGGAGCTTCCGCCCGGAGGGATGAACAAGTGTCAGTCGAGTGTTTACAGATCCGGACAGGACTCCGTCCCCTAGTGCACTTTACGGGCGAAGAAGTCACCGGATGGTGTTCCTGGCCCTGCGCCCCGGGATGCGGCGGCGCCGCCGTCTGGGACTCCGGGGCAGGTGTGCCCTCTGCTGCCTCCCGGCACCGGGTCTGCGGAGAGAGGAGGCCGCTGGATCCTCAGGAGAGGCCCCTTTTCTTCCTAACCCCAGGTTGAGACGTCTCCAGGACTGTAGGGGCAGATCCATCTTCTCCGTTTTGGACTCTACCTCACTGGTCTGGAAGCCCTCCGAAGAAGTCATTATTTTTCCAAAGGAATTTGGTTTCGTGCTAGTATAATAAGCCAGAATTCACTTGCTTTTTATACCTCTCTCTCTCGCTCTCCTTTCTTTATTTCTTGACTGCCACCCCTCTTTCTGGATGAAAGATTGGACATGTTTTGTGGTGTTGCACGAGTTTTGTGCTCAGGGTATTCTGAATCCCACTGGTTTCCTAATATCGATTGGATTCCAATGCTTTGACCAAGGATGTTTTCTAAGAGATTCAAGCTTATTATGACTGTTAATAGTGCAAGGATTTGTATGGCTTTGAACTTCACGGGCTCAGTAATTACAAACAAAGAGATGCAAAATACCACTGTTTAATTATTTTAAGGTGTTTCTAAAGATTTTATATTAAAATTGAATTTCGTTTATATTTACTGAGCTTCAAAAGAAAATGGTAAAAACTCATATAAAGTTTTGTTTAGGAAAAGTTGACTTGTTAAAATTTTTTAATTGAATAAAAAAAGTTCATTGAAACTACATGGCTTGTGATTTTAAAACATTGAATGTGTTATATAAAAAACTGGTGTTGGTTAAAGAGATGGATAGAATCTGATTAGAAATCATTTGGCCTTCTGGTACTGGTCTAATATACAAATCCAGGAATAATTCAAGGACAATTTATTTTAAAATAATACATAGGAGAAGTGAATGTGTGTAAACTTTGTGATTAAAATGATAAACAGAATACCCATTTCAGTCCTCAGAACTATAAACGATCTAGAGGGGTGGGGGCGTTTCTTGGTATAAACAAGTGGTTGAAGTTACTTTGGGCAGAGTAGATCTCTTTTTCTTTCCTTTTTGTTGTTGTTGGATAACAAGAAATGTGCAGACTAATATCCATCACTTTTATAAACATTATGACAGTTAGTTGACTTTTTTGCTCCACAAGTTTCCTTTTTTATCTTGTTTCCATTCATAATTATGTTCACAGTTATGGGTCTTTGACAGCTGAACACGATAGGAATCGAACAGGCAATTCAGAGTTCTGCCCCTTCTTTTACACTTTTCTAATAGTGTTTGTACCATATGGCCCAGTGTGTAATTCTTGATTATCCAAGTGCCTTTGGTCATTGGTGGCAGCAAGACTTAATGGTTTTTAGCCAGTGGTGCCACAGCCAGATTTTACTGCAATATCTCAAGGTCAAGTAGTGTTTTTGTACCACTGTTATTTCAATTTAAGTATTCTGCCATGGAAGGATCTATACTAGGCTGGAACTTGACATATGTAATCCTCAATATTAAGGTTTATCTCTGCTTGGCAACTTCTTGGTAAAATAATGAGAGTTGCAATTTTGACTCTTGTGTTCTTAGAATTTAAATGGCATAGCTTCCTGAAATGATTTTTTCAAGTTTAATGCCCATTGTAGGAGCTTTGTGACTAATTTCAGTGTTTTTGTTTTGTAAAAAGAAATATATATATGTATACATATATATATATATAACTTTATGCCAGTTTCCCAGTAATCCGCATATTTTATTCACTGCTCAATGATAATGCATTGTTATAAACACTGTCACATGAGTAAATAAAAGTGAGTACTTAGAAGATGAAGAGTGTTAAATTATATTTGTGAAAGGAAGCTTATATATATCCTTTTGATTAACTTTCATTGCCAATTGTATTTCAGATACATAGGGGTTTCCTCCCCCCTCCCAAAGTCGATAACTTTTTAAGCTACCACCTGAGGAAAAAAATGTGTATGTGTACTACTTTACTATTGTATATAGTTTTATAATAAATCAATGGCCATATTAGGATGCAATTTCAACATATAGCTTATCTAGATAGTTTCCCAGAGGATTTTGAAATTACTTAACTGGGAGGATAACATTGCTCAGCACAAAACTGAAACATAACATCATTGATACCACTCATTTATTGTAACTGAGATTCTGAATATTTTTCCTCTTATGCCTTGTTACTTTAGTGCACTTGAACTCACATAAATGCTTCTTTGGATTATCTGGGCTATCTGATTTCATTTTGGATATGATTGCCCATCCTGAATTCAATATGTTGTTTATCTGGTCTATTAAAAATTCATGCCATTTCTAGTTTGTGAAATAAGATGTAAAAAAGATCTTTATTTTTGCCAAGTTTTCTTTAGCAAAACCTATGTTACAACTTCTAAAATGTGAAGAAACAACAAATATACTTGATTAGTATATTAATAGGAAAGTGAAAGTATTTATGGGTACTTTTGGGCAGAATGTGAACAGGAACTTGGCATGGTGGCCTTTATTTTGAGGCATCCATTTACTGTCCTCTAAAGTGAGTCTAGCTTAGCTTGTATATAGTTTTTGTAAGAACTGCTATGATCTTTATTCACTCTTTTACCTTTTCTTATATCTCATATGGCACAAGTAGAGGGGAGAAGCTAGGAGGAAGTTTATCACCTTGTTATGCTGTTAATTTTGAACTCCTGAGTGCCTAAATGTGGTGACTGGCACCTCATATAACTTTTTGAAATTCCTGATGTCATTTCTTTATCTTCCTTCCTGTCAACCAGCAACTTATTTTTTCTTACTGAGACCAGTAATGTCATGATTGTTGAGGGCAAGCTTCATTGTTGATAGTGCAAAGTGTCACTGTTGTGTATTTATTTTATTACAGTTTGGATCATATCGGACAAGTGTAACTTAAGCTGGTGGCTGATACCTATTGTTTTGCTATGTGCAAACGATATTACTGTTTTTTTGAAAACTTCAATAAAAAATATTTGAATACAAAAATGAGCAATTTTGAACTCAAAGTTTTATGTTGTTTTAAGGGTTGCCACAACACTCTTAAATTGGTGTTTTTAAATGGACATATATACATAATATTTACTTTGTTGGTGTGTTTAAAATATTTTTGATAGACATGTTCTAAGTGCATTAGAAAGCAATTACTTGTAATGGAACTGATTTTTTTTTGGACAGTTTGACGTGCATATGATTAAGATTTACAATCTGGTTGTACTTTGCTTTTTAACTTATTAACTGTAAATAAATTTTAGAGAATACACAGTGTCTGGTTTTTCTAGTGATGTTGAAAGTTTTTGAGATGGGATTTTATGTTTGTATGACTTGGAAAGCATTTTAATGTACAGTGTGATGAATTTTAACTTTTTTGTGAGCTTCACACTCGAAGTCTTAAGATAGGTGTTTTGTGCTATCTTGGAAGCCTGTTATATCAACTCTTTAATGATCTGGTGAATCTCCAACACAGTGTCTCATACCCAAGCACAAGCCTTACCCAGTTTGCCAGCAGTAAAGACTTTAAAACTGCATCAAAATTAAACTTTGAGTCTTGACCCCAAGTCCCCCTGTGGTGGTAGAAAGTCTAAAGCTCACATTCTTTCATATTATGAAAGAGTGTTCCATGTGAGTAGCAGCATAAGGGCTGTTCCACAGAGTAAGAGTAGAGCCAGAATTTTTGTTATAGTCTAGTAGGTTGTAACAAGGTAGAAGTATTAGCAAGGGCAGGATTCATAGTATTATGTGGCCTGAATTTTACTTTGTACCTCAGTTCCTATCAACTCCTATTGGAGTCAGCATAGTGTAACAGCTGTGAATCACAGTGCCTGGGATGGAATTAAGGCTTCACTCTTTGCCAACGTTAGCACTCTAGATAAGTTACATAAACCCTCTATGCTTTAGCTTCCTCAAGTATCAAATGTGGTTAGTAAAATAAATTTGCATTAATGAAATAAAAAAGACATTGATGGTGGTGGGCATATAGGAAATACTAAATGCTATTAATTGGAGGCATGTGTGCTAATGATAAGTATATATGCTAAGAGTGGTCCTTTGGGAGTTAAGCTTCCCATGAATAGAAGGGACTGGGAAAGCCAAAAGACAAATCAAGAAGGTAATTTGTGGGTGAATTAAAGACATAAAGAAATCTATATTTTTGTAGGTTATTGACAAACTATACAGCAGGAGGTTGGATTAGATTGATTTATTAGACAGTTTTCACTGTTGGAGGTTTTCTAGGCTTTCTTAAAATTTTGGGGTCTTTTATTATAATACCTTTGAAAAATATTTAAAATGTGCTGTTATGTGTTTTAAATTGAGAATTTAAAAAAGTAATAGCTTAAAGTTATTGACCCAAAAAGTTGGCAAATTTCCACACTAAATTTTTACTTGGAATAAGTTCAGTAAGGGTTACTTAAGAACCATGTTAATTCATCTAATATACAGAACCAAAATAGAACAATTTGTGTGAGGTTTGTGCTTCCTGTGTTAAAGGAAACAAATGAGTACAATAGTTATGTTTGAACAGCAGAAAATTATTACAAAACTAAAAAAGATCCTCATATTTGAAGCACTGACACACTCATTTTTAGATTTTGGGTCTAAAGCCTTTAAATTAGCTCTAATTCCTTTTAGCACAGAGAATAACAGAACATATTCTAACTTGGTGAGCAAGCCAAAGTTGTAGTATCTGAAAATTGACACAAAGAAGTTTCTTACATGGAAGTTATCCAGTAGTGAAAAGCTCAAAACAGCCTGATTGCAGATTGCACAAGAGCAATAACTTCTCATTGTCAGCGCTCTCTTGTTTTGGTAAATATCACCCCAAACCGTAATCTATAATATCATAAACACATCAAGAGCCCAACTGGAAGGTAATGATCACAATGACATCAAACACTATGGCTAGCCCAGCAAGTTGGAATAAATATTCTTTTACTAAATTCAAAATTCGACCTCTTTTGCTTCTGAAAGTATTCATAGAGTTGTTACATAGAGATATAGAGAGTCTTGTGAATTTATACATATATATATATAAATTTGATATATATATATGTGTCGAATATAAATTCTAGGATTTTTTTTTCAAATACATGTTCTTTAAATGTGTACTAGACAGAAAAATTCAAGAACCATATGATTTCACTGATATGTGGGATATAAAACTGAAAGCAACAAGGGAACAAGACAAAGAAACAAAAACTCATAGACACAGACAACAGTTTAGTGGTTACCAGAGGGGAATGGGGGAGGGGGGTGGTAGAAGAGGGTAAATGGGATTAAATATATGGTGATGGAAGGAGAACTGACTCGGTGGTGAACACTTAATGTGATATATAGATGATGTATTACAGAATTGTACTCTTGAAACCTATGTGATTTTACTAACTATTGTCACCCCAATAAACTTTAAGTAATAAAAAATGTTTACTGGAACAAGCATAGAAATAAGGGTGTGACTTAGGGTTCTAAACTCTAGGTTAAAACTATTGAAGCATGGAATACCTATTAAAAGTACATATATTAAAAGTATTATAAGCACAGCTTCATAAAATTTCATAAGTTCAGTATTCTCATGGAACTAACATTCAGAATAAAAAATAAAATAAAACAGAACATTACCAGTACCCTAGAGAACTCTTTATACCTCTTCCAGTCACTATCTCTCTCTCCTCCAAGATAACAATTATTCTGACTTCTTACAGCATAGATAATGTTTTGCCTGTTTTTGTACTTTGTATAAATGGAATTATGTGTTGTGTGCCTACCCTATTTCACTCAAAATAGTGTTTGTGAGATTCATACATATTATTGCATGTAGCTGTAAATCATTAAGTCTTGTTGGTGTATAGAATTCCATTGTGTGAATATTCTACAGTGATTCTACAACTCTTGATGGACATTTAGGTAGATTCCAGTGTAGGGCAATTATGATTAAAGCTTCAGTGAACATCAGAGAACATGTCCTTTGGTGAGCTTTTTGTTTTGTTTTTTTTTGGTGTAGGGGGACTATTTACTTAGCAGTAAATTTGCTGGGTCACATGTTACACAAATGATCAGCTTTGGTAGATACTGCCAAACAGTTTTCCCAAATGGTTATACCAATTTACATGAACTTTTTTCTTTTTTTAAGATTTTTATTGGGGAATTGGGGGGATAGGAACAGTGCTGGGGAATTGGGGGAAGGGGAACAGACAAGTTGCTGTCATTTTGTTCTTCAGTCTAGTTGTGGAGGACGTTGCTTCACTGGCCCAAGCTGGCACCATCATTGCGCTCTTCCCGGGTGAGGCAGATCAGTCACCGGCTTCTGGACGGCCGCTCACTACGGCTGCTGGCCGCTCAAGCTGGCTACATACGGTATATATATATTCATTTATAGTTAACATACAATATTATACAACAATACAACATCAGCTTTAGGTGTACAGTGCAGTGATCAAGCCTCTACCCTATCCATGAAGTGGTCTCCCTAACAAGACATGTGACAATCTGACACCCTACAATATTTATAACTTTATTAATTATATTCCCCAAACTGTCTTTCATGTCCCTGTGGCAATATTGTAATTGCCTATTTATGCTGTCTAATCCCTTCCCTTTCTCCCTCATCCCCACTCCCCTCCCAACTAGCAACCATCAGTTGTTCCTCTATATCTCTGAGACTATTTCTGTTTACTTTGCTCTTTCATTCATTTTTTTAGATTATAAGTGAGGTCATATGGTATTTGTCTTTCTCCGACTGACTTATTTCACTTAACATAATAGGTTTTTTTAATATAGGCTGTTTTTTAGGTCAGTTTTAGACTTAGAGACAAATTGCACAAAAAATATAGAGGCCTCCCCATACACCAAGCTTCTATAGTTATTAATCTCTTTCATTAATGTGGGTACATTTATTACAACAGATGCATGTGACATTAGTGACACGTCATTAACTAAAGCTAGGGTTCACTCTTTGTGTTGTACAGTTTCATAAGTTTTGACAAATGCATAATGTCACGTATCCACCATTACAGTATCATACAGATTAGTTTCACTATCCTAACAATGCCCTATGCTCCACTTATTTATTTGTCACTTCCTCTCTTCCCCTGTACCCCTGGCAACCAGTGGTCTTCTTACTGTCTCTACAGTTTTGCCTTTTTCAGAATGTCATGTAGTTGGAATCATAAAGTATATGGGTGTGGCTTTTTCAGGTTGGTTTCTTTCACTTAGCAATATGTATTTAAGTTTCCTCCGTGTCTTTTACCTCCCTCCAGCTCTCCTTCCCTTCCTTCCTTTTGTTAATGGAGTTAACTTTTTAACACAGTTTTAGATTTACAGAAAAATTGACCAGATAGTTCAGAGAGTTCTTTATTTTCCCTCTTCTTGTTTTGCTGGAGTACATCCTCAGATAACTTCCTAATAAAAAGTGAATACAGTCAAAGGTTCCAAGGCTTTGCATGTCTGAAAATGTCTTTATTCTGTTCCCACATTCCGACAGTTTTGATAGGTTTGGAATCCTAAGTTGTAATGACTCATTACCCCTTCCCTAAGTGGCCCCAGACTATAACACTGTTGGAACTATGATATCTATTTTTTATAGTGTTTCTGACTCATGCTGTCATTTTTACCTTATTGTGCATTCTTTTGAAATGATTCACAAAGTTCAGCAAGTGGAATGAGGCTTCGCCTCTTGAAGGGCCTAAAATAGAACTTAGGAACATATTTGAAACCACCACAGACTACCCTCTGGGCTTAATTATTTACGTTCATCTCAAATGCAAAATATCCTCACCCTGTCCTAAGATCCACCCTATCAATCTCCTAGTCCTTATAATCAGCTCATGGTCCAGGATGCTGTCATCTAAATTAGGCCCAGGTGTGGATGGGGCCCCTTGGGTGCACGTCCGCTCAATCTGAAGACCTAGAAATTAAAGATACAACCAACAGCCCAAAGTGGGATAAGCATAGAATAACCGGAATAGACACTGACTGCTAGGAGAAAAGGAAGATGCGGAAGAGTCACTGGTCCATAGTCATTCTAACATTCAGCTGGGCACAGATGGCCATTCATTAGGACCCAAACCCCGAGGATAATTTCCTACGGCTCCAGCTCTACCCTTTGGGTTCTTGATTACATTCTTTGACTCATTCTTCCTTTTTCATGAAAGGTAGCCTGCATTTGCATTTGCATATTTGTTTTAGTCTACTTACTGATTCTAGAAGTTTGTGGGTCCAAAGTGCTTTCATTGTACTGTCTCCGTTCTTTTAAGTAAACC